GAGGAATAATCAATGATTAGTAACGAAATAGTGGTAACATTTTAAACCATCAGAACTATTAAATATGCCATACACGCAAACACGAATAAGAATGTTTGATATATCGACATAAATTAATTTTCCTACGACTTTCATTGAAAATGACATATGTCGTACAATTATGTTTACTTGAAAATTGACAATTTCGCTCACTTATGGCAAAATGTAACGGAAAACAAAACGCACCCGTGTGATTTGCTTTCTCATAAGATTGACCATATAGTAGAAAGCAAATCGCATGTTACGTTTTGCTTTCGTAGTAGTCTAATCTTCTTGTAACATCAACGTAGTAGGCGTACGTCAAACTCTAAAATTACGATTAGTTTATTCTTGAGTTTATTCCCTTGTGCTACACATTTAATTCCTTACTTATTTTTAATGGCGAAAAGTGATTCTTCCATGGATGTAGAGTGTACTCCACCCAACATCAGGGAAGAGGCAAAATCCACTACACTCGAATTACTACCAACTAAATTGCGGCCGATATGAAAAGTAGCGTACGTCTAATAATATTAGTAAATTTCTTGCAGAAGCTCCAAACGACAAGTACCTACCTCTTTAGTCTTTGCTAAAGTAATTATAACAATAGTTCGTTAAAGAGAAATTGAATCTATTTCGTATTTTTAGATAGTTTTAGTAGTTGGTTCGAAATAAAATAACTTTTGTTTCATTATGTAAGTAGATTTTTGGTTGTATGGAGAGTCGTAGGAAAAATAGTGTACATGACTCGTTTGAAAGCCACTTTTCACACTCGTGTGATTGCCACACTCGGCTTCGCCTCGTATGGCAAACTTCACATCTCGTGTGAAAAGTATCGCTTTCAACACTCGTTACGTAATATACTATATCGTATTCCCCGTGCTTGCTGTGCGAAAGTATTAAAAGATATCACCTCTTTTATTGTACCACATGGAATTCCCGTCTGTCAAAATTTTTATCTAACCTAGCATTTATTAAACGCACAAACGCACGGAAGGATTTCATTTCGATTCCTAAACAATTACAAATGTTTGAATCTTCTTTTTCATATGACATTTTGCGAAGGTATATAATTCATTTCCGTCGAATGTTAAATATTTAAATATTTCACAATTTAAAAAAGTCGTGCGTAAAACTCTTTTAGGTATTTTTGTTCATTTTCCTTTGTTTATGTCACTACTTTTCATTTACTTGCCCTTTCTATTTTTTAGACTCACAGTTTGGGTTAATCAAGATGTGTTCATTCTGTATTCTAGAACTGTGGCCATCTTTTACTTTATTGTTAATTTAAGTTTATTTTTTTGGGTCAAGTGGAAGATCACGAAAAATATTTCTTTTTTTGTGAACTTCGCGATTTTGACATTTATATCTAGTTTATTTAGTTGTTTATGTATGAACTATTGATTTTCCTCACTCTTTTGTTATTTTCATCACTTATTCATCTTTAACTGCCCAAATAAAGACATTATTATTGAACTCTATGACTTCGCCAATATAGATCCCCAAATAGCAGAGGATTAGAGCTGCTATATAGCGCACTCAACCTTCGTACGCAATTTGAATTAATACCCCCGTCCCCCGACTACATACAATTGTAAACCATTTAATAACAAAATCGCTGCAGCGAACAACACACAAATTAAAACAAAATTGAAAAGTACACGAGCACGAAATCGCAGCAAATTCAACGAATTGTACACTTTAGGACTCTCTAAACTAAACCATACAACATTCTTTAGACGCCGTTTTGGGAGTATTTCCAAGCAACATCTTAGAAAAATAATTTTTATAGAAATTTAAAAAAAATGTAGAAGTTTGAGAAGAAAAATAGGAAAACAAGCTTTTTGATCCTCGAGCAGTGACTGGTACCTACTTCAATATTTTACACATTGCATTGCTGAACGTGTGATCTTAAATACCATGTGTTAGATGAGTTCTAGCTAAGCAGAACATATCAATCATAGGCTGATTCACTAGTTTCAGCATTTCATAAGAGAACAGTACTTCATCGATAGAACTTTTAATGCTCGTTACACGAAAGACGCTTCAAAAATACAACACCAAAATGAGGTTACTTACTTAAAAACTTACGTACTCCGTCAATAAATGGGTTTCGGATTGCGATATAGGTAGAAGAAAGATAGGTAATAATTAAATTAAAACATATGGAATAACCTAAAAAGAAACGTGTTAACCAAATAGAGATACGGTGTAGGTTAAATGGGAGCCAAATTGCTCCTTTTTGTGACCAAAAAAGGCATTTGAAATTTTTGGAAAATAACTGTGTAGATCACCGAAAAACTGAAATAGTCAAATTTATTTTTTAATTTTTTTGCTTAAACGGTTCCCGTCTATGGGCACTTTTTTCGGAGAATCTGAATCTGTTATCAGAATTTCCATATTTCTTATCGACGCCTAATTAGATTTTTACGGAATGAGATAGAGGACAAAAAAAGGAAAATAATGATATACTTTTACATAAAATTATAACAAAAATTTCAAGATAAAATGTTTTATCTCAACAAAACATCCACGGGTAATTAGATCCTGCCGAATCAAAATGGCTACGATGGCGATACATTCAAATGAAATTCTTTTTTGTCACCCATCTCATTCCATTAAAATCCAAATATAGCGTCCTAAAAAAATAAGAACGTAGTAGCCTGTAGATTCTATACATCTATAGCGTGTTATGGAAATTCTGATAACAGATTCAGATCGGCCGCAAAAAATGCCCACAAGAGGATTGATGAAAACGAAATTTGACATTTTCAGTTTTTCGGTGACATCTCGCTTATTTTCAAAAATTTCAAATGCGTGTTTTTAGTCGCAAAAAGGGACCACTCTTCTTTTTATGGCATGGAAAATTATAAAATGTTTGCTATCAATCTACGTACTTTAAATTTGTGGTCAGTGGCGTATTTATGCATGGTCAAGGGGGGAAGGGATATTTTTTAAATAGCAACCAGTATCCAAAAAAGGTCATTCTTTAATAATATGTCATGAAAACTAATAGGTGCCATTAAAAAATGCATCAGTACGCCACTGGCCACAAATTTAAAGTGCGTGGATTGGTTGCTAACTTGTTATAATTTTGGATACGGGATTTTTTTACTAAAAATATTCATGTAGCATGCTGGTTAACATACAGATGAGAATATTGTAGGCTTACTAAATTTATGGTGACAGATTGACTAAACGGAAAGTAAAAAGTCATTTGAAGAAGATCATATCCACACTGATAACTGGCACGTAATCTGGAACAGTTGATTTTTGCTAAAACAGTAGATGTACAATTTTATAGTCGTATCTAATCTCTAATCTAAGAAGTAATAAAAACACTACGAGCGATTCGCACTATAAACACATAAGCATAATTAATATCCTATTAGTTAATGAAACCATTTATAATATAAATTTCATCTTGCATTCCGGAGATTAAATAACACCCTCATATAATGGAACGATGGAGCTTAGTTGCCATCTATCATAAGAATTTCCACTATCGTGATCACGTCGTAGTAATGGCTTAATTATAGGTACGTTCAAAAATCAAAGCTCTACCATTTTGTTGGTCGACGTGTTGTTTGATTTCTCTTTTATGGATCCAACAAACTTGCCTATTAAGATATTTATTTACAGTTTTATTGATTTACTGACGTTTCATAAAACTTTCGTTGTGTTTGATCAAATTGTAAATTGATGGGTGTAATTGCATTAGTCATAATACGTTTTTCTCTTTCAAGGAGTAAGAAACGTGAAAAACTAATCAGCTACGTTTTTTTTTATGTTTTGCACTTAAACTTCCCAAATTCGTGTAAAAGTTTTATGCTGAATCGGCACTCGTTATACGCGATAAGTTTTATTTTTTAGCGTTGTACATAAAGGCGTGAGGTATTCCTAGATTTCTAGTTCAAATTTGACCTCAAAAGTCACGATTTCAGTGCACTTTATAATTAAACATGTTCCTTTGTATAATCACTGCAAGTGTTCTACAATAATACTGCAACTTTCGTCACGTCCATCTTTATTTACACGAATGCTGTGGACATTACGCGGGTAATAATAGAATTCAATTGTAGGGAGATATTGGCGGTCTTCTTTTTAATTGGTCTAACCTTGGGTGGTTAATTTTCATTCTACAAGGAACGTATAATTGTACAGAGAGGAAGACGTAAAAATCTATATCACGTTCGAGAAATGTTTTCTGGATTCCAAAGGGCTTGCATATGGAAACTATGCACTAATGAAATTTATTCACTTTGATTATCTAGCATTGTACTGAGTTTAAGTATGCACTGATATATCTGCTATGTTTGTAATTGAATAATTTATTTCCCCATTTGAATAATATTTATGCCAGATCCGCACAGTAGCATTAAGAATGTAGGAATACTTTCAACAAATTCACGCCAATTTTTACAATAGTCGCCTTGCATTGCTCACATTTTCCGAGCGAATTACCCATACTGTCTGTAAAAATAAACCATACGTTCCTTTTGTTAGGAAATATATAGCGAATCAGTTTTTTTCTTGCGGATTTTTAAAAAAATAGTTCGAGATACCGTCTTGTTTGTTCTGTATTATAGTGTACGTTTCGTGTTACGTGAGCAAAACAATCCTGGCTTTCTAAGCCTTTGTAAGCCAGCTTAGAGTTGGGATTCCAAATTCTAGGCGCAATCACGATTTAGACCTAACGTATTACATCCCATTTAGATTGGTATCTGTATAATCCAGGTTGTTCTTTCATCTTATGTTATATACGTTGGCTTAGTTTGTATGACTTGAATTAAACTAGAAACAATTTCGAATTGAAATTCATTCAACCCCTCGAGAGCTTATTATTTTAATTATCTCGATTAACTGCTGAAAAAGTTGGGCTAAATGTAAGGGACAGGTAAAGATTTAGTGGGATAACTGTCGCAAACAGCAATGTCGCAAGTTTAATGAAGTTTTTAATTTAATTCTCTTTTTGGTTGCAGTTTTCAAATGACGGACCTAACGGAGAATCGATGTGCCTTCAGGGACCAGATTGTTTTATGGTAAGTTAAAAACTAAGCAACAACTCGGGTCGTAAACCAAATTTTCGCCATTTCTCACTTCTACAGGCGAAATCGTTTTTCAGAAGTTTAAACAAGATTTGCTCCCTTTTTGGCAGAAACGTTGAAAAAGTTCGCAAGTTACTTCCGCGAAACTAACATTCCAGGTTGTGAGTGCTATAAACGTTTAAATATAAAGACGAAGCGCAATTTTCACCTCCGCCGAGTTCTGTAATGATTTTTAACTCGAAACCGAGCCAGTGTTTTCTGATGTTTTGGTTTTATTTTAGTGTGATTATATTCGGTTCAGCGAATTAGGCCCACCGCAATTTCTCAAGTATTTTATTCTCATTAAAACCATCTGCACACGACAATTAACAAAAATATGAAATTCTCTATACGCCGCATTTTAAATTAACAAAATCGTGCCATTATTTTTGCGCATACCGGTGGTATTTGTCGTGATGTTTATCCAATTAATTGAATTTATCGAATTACTGCTTTTAGCACTTGTCTAATTATATTTTATGCCACCTACAAATTGCTCTTCAATTGTTTTCGTATCACTGAAAGATCAGTTCGGTAGCAACGGAAATCGTTTAGAGCTGTAATTGTATATGCACCTTATAATTTAAAGCGCCGCGGGGAAAGTGCGTTTAACAGCGACTTGTTTTCCGATGAGGATTTCATTTAATTTAAATTTGTTTGAAATTCCGTTTTGTAAAATTCGTCATGACCAGATCTACCGCATGACGCGAATTCGTTCAAATGCGAATTGTAATGAAGCATAAAAGTGTCTGCTGGACAAGTTTAATGCACAATAAAAGTATTCTAAATTTTATAAAACAATGAAGGGTATAGATGCGAGCTTTATCGTCTGTCCATACTACATATGAAATCACTTTGTTAATTGAACCTCGTAAAAATGTGCGATCCGTATTTCACATTCGCATGGAAATTGAAAAGTTTTGTTACATGAAAAGTTTTTCCAACATTGCTAACTGGAACAAAGTTATCATGCAGGGTGTGTAATTTGAAGTGACTGAAAAACAATTAAAACACATCACCGAAAAACCTCGACCGAAACCGTATGTTATTGCACATTTCCTTCTTGAATTTTCATGGTACTCGGCACCTAAAGAAAAATGTAAATAATTTAAGCGAAGTCGTCTCATATAGGGTTGAACAAAAAATCGATTGGTTTTTTAATTGGTCGTTTATTTTTTTATTGAATTGAGTGTACCGCTAATAATTTGGTAAATTGGTACATACTTATTTATTAAAATTAGGGTTTCATTATTAATTGCCGAACAATCTACTGTTTTCAATAATCTTTTATCTACTCCTTATCTCTAATTATAGAGGGAGATTTTAAACATTGTCGTTTGGTTCACTAATTACCCGATGGATTTTTTCAGGCATTCGATAAGTTCCATCTTTTTGAAAGTTCAAAGTTGTAGCATTTCTTTCATCTCCCCCTATTTTACAAAATTGGGAAAAAGACATAGGAGCGGTATCGAACACTCAAAGATTTTTGAATGCATATATGGTCGTAATTTTACTCGTTATACCGCAAGCCGCATTTTAATACATTTTCAGCATCCTTCAGTTGGTATTACTAAAGCTTTTACGAAATGGACCCTATCTTAATTTACAGCCCATTGCAAAATTAGAACCCTAAAAGACGTGCCAAATTCTTAGTAAAACACAAAGTTTAACCTACCTACCTTTGATTATAAGAGGAATATTTAGAAAATAATAGTATGGCAACGGTTTAGAAATTCAAACGCCATATAAAACAAATAGAAAAGTTGGAATTCGCCAAAATTCAATTAAACCATCCACAATGAGAGATAAGTGTTTCAACTCGAACCGTAATTACTTCAAGATTAATCGCAATAATCTTGGAATTACACCGTCTTTGAATTTTTATCGATGAACACAACTACTTACTGTTGTAAAGTAAGTTAACGTTTATCTTAGGTATACTAAATGTAGATCATAATACTGCAAGGAGTATTATTACTCGTATTGTAAATTAAAAAAAGAAATGAGAAATATCCCTGAAAAGGATCAGATTCAATTTGAAAATAAGATTCATATATTGGATTCGGTTAGGAAACTTGAATTTAGTTGTCCGTATGTAATTTCGGATTTAATCTTAACCAAATCAAAGTTTTCAGGTTTTCAATCATTAAATCATTAATAAGAATAATGTCCTTATTTGGGTATTTAACAAATGAACAACTGATAGAACAACAAAAGTGAGGAAAAAAATGGCTATACACATAGTTCATAGAGAAAGGTTTCAAAACCTGCCCGTAGGTGTCGCCGCCTAACACTACTGTAAATGAAGGGCAACGGGCAAATTTAGACCATACCAGCTGTCAATTACGGAAATGACGGAAAATCGAGCACATACCTAAGCGTTACCTCAACTTCGTTGTGTTACGCTAATTATTATGGATCCTCAGATTTATTGTTTTGTATTGTTGTCGGTCCGTCCATGTGCGCTATAACCGTAGAGTAATCCTTCACTCAACGCCATAACCTTTTTTAAAAGTGGCCGATCATACTTTGGATATTAAGGCAGGACGCAATTGACTTTCAGGAAGCTGGTTCAACAGGAACAAAAGTTATAGTACTTCGAGTGAATTGGGAACAGGAAACACTGTGGACTCAATAATAGGAATCTAGATCAAAACTTTTAGAACATATACCCAAAATTTTTTCCCACAATCTATTGACATTCTCGCACTAAGACATTCTCGCACGAGTGCGGGAATTGATCACTTATTTGATTAATTCTTAAACGAGTGTAGGAAAAACGTTATTCCAAATTTCGGAATCATCAACTTCACGCACTTGTTAGGGAAATAACTATTTACACATAAATTTGGATTTGTAATAGCTTGCAAACGCAATATCTCGATGCCAAAAGAGTACATGGCATGCACATTTGGTAACCGCGTGTGTTTGATTCAGCGATATTACATTCTTTTTCTGGAGCCACATGTATTTTGATCAAAACGTGTCAAAATCGTTGTTCATGCACCAAGATCGTTTGGAAAAGAGGTCAAGAGAGTTAGATGTTTGGATTTTCAGGTAAACAAGGTAAGGAGTCCAAATATTATAATAGCTACTCGGGAATTCGTTTATGGGCAGTAAAATTTAACAGTTTTAAGTAAATAATCAAAAATTTTAAAAATCGTTTGGGGTTGGCCACCCCCCCTGAAATGTCCTTCCGTGGCAGCATGTCCAATTTAAATATTTTTTGAGGCGCCATCCATCCACTAATATAAAAGTTGCGTCTGTGTGCAAAGCAATTTTTTATAAATAATGGTCCAAGTAATCGCCATGGCTGCCAACAGAACCAATTTTCTTTGTCTTCGTCTTTATGAAATAGAAGATTGAAGCTCCTGGGTCCAAAATGATTGCTACATCTGAGTAAGGGTTTATGTGCGGGTTTTGTCCAATCAAGGATCAATATACAAGTGTATAGGGTAAGATTTATAAGCGCAATAAACGCCAAAAGTATGAGAAAAAAATAGATTTGTTTGCCTTGGCACCACAACGATCCAAATATCGAAAAAAGTAGGACAAATAAAACAACTAAAAAATGTACCTCGGTTTCGTAATGACAAACAAAACCAGCGATTGCAAATTCCAATTGAGGAAAATTTAATGATCAAAATTATAAAAAAAAAATTTGTAACAATGGAAACGATGAAAAATACCAAAGCAAACACTTGCAAGAAAAAAAATTAAACTAAGTGCTCCGAACACATTCTACCTACTATCCATAACATGGCATGTTGACTATGAAAAGTGCAGATTGCAAATATCTTTCAGATAAACTCTTCGTCAAAATTGAGCGTGAACCTCGCCATTAAGATGTTCATAGTAAATTAGTAACTTGTTTAAGTAGAAGTGAAAATTAAACTTGTAACTTGTAACTTTGACATATGCCTGGCGTCGCCGCCTCTCCCAGGATTTAGTCAACTGTCGTGAGGATGCGTCCCTGGTAGACACTATCAGGGACGTTTCTCCACTACTTTGTTGCCATCGCGCTGGGCCGCGACATATGCCAAACAATGTGGTGGATTTTGTGGATTGGGGGGGTTGTGGGGGGGCGGCTAACTGGGTGTTATCCGACCCGAACGGGTACGCCCACAGCTTCGCCACTGGTATTCTGCCTTAGAGGGAACTCTGCTTTCTAGTGATAGCTTCTTCTCCGGGCGTTCATTGGCTTCCGATGTTCCTATCCTTTGGTCTCGTTCCCTTCCCTGTTTTCCCTCGTGTTAGGCTCTTTTTATTGTTGTCCTCTCCCCGCATTACTTTCTGTCCCCTTTTCCTCCTCCCCTTGGCTACTTGTCCTTGTGGCTGATTATTCCTCCACCTCCAGTATTCTTCTGCTTTCTTTCTTCCTTTGATGTTTGTCTCTGCTATTCTCTCCCATCTTCTCATGGTAATCCCCGAGACCTCTACCGTTTGGTTTATGGTGGTGTTCCATGTTTGGCAGGGTCGGCCTACCTTCCGTTCCGAGGCACATAGAATCTTGGCAGCCCGAATGATATGGTCTTTGTTCCTCCTGTTGGTATGTCCCCAGTATCTCATCTGCCTCATCTTCAGTCTCCTGGCAATCGTCTTTCCCTCTAATAGTTCTCTTCTCTGCTTTCCTGTGAGGTTGCTGTTTTCCTCAGTATCCTGAGTGCCTTCCACTCTGCCCTCCTCAATGTTCGTCTGTTGCTCTTTGTTGGCGCTGAAGTGTTAATTCCGTATAAGATTGTCGGTGCTACGATCGTGTTGTAAATCATCATTTCAACCTGTCCGGTATTTTCTTCGCTCGTATGAAGTTCCAGATTCCGTGTGCGATTCTGAATGCGTTGGTTATTCTGTCTTTCACTGCGTTGTGCCTGCTGAGGGTGCTGCTTATGTACTTACGTTCCCATAAACTCGAAATTAAATTAAACTGTATGATTTAGCAATCCCTTGTTAAGCGTAACTGTATGCTAAAATTGAAGTGTGAAAAAAATCGAAGTTTGGATTAAAGGTCCGGACCGATAAAGGTAAACTATTGTCAACAACCAAAAGGTTACGAAATGATGCCACGAAGAACCAAAGCTAGATTCATAATTGTGCGGAAGGAACGGGAACCCGTAGAAAATGCATAAAGCTAATGTATTAGAATTCGCTTATGGTATGGTAACAAATTAACCAGAGGTAGTCAAAAAGTAATTTTGGTAAAGGCTATACTATTTGTTGATAGACCACGGATTAACAGAAAAGGTATATCTTCCGAAATGAAAATTGGACAACATAAATGTGTTACTGTCAGAAGAAAAAAAAAAT